ACCCTCGTAGCCTCACTTACACTCAGTGCACTACCATTGCTGTCGCTTGTTTGAAGCAAATAACTGTGGCCACGAACGGCTTAGAGGAGTTTGAAGCGACTTTGGCGCTCTCGAGGATCACCAGTGCATCGTCAGAATTGCGCGAATTCGTTGCGGAGAAGAAAGCGTGGGAAACTGTGAGAGAACTAATATTCAACAAGGATGAGCGTATCAAAACTGTGGCGACTGAGGTGTGGTGTAACCTGTGCTCGACGAGGGAGATTCAGAGTCGCTTTATGGCTTCTACTGCTAGCGCTCAGGAGGATCTGAAAATCCTCACCGCTTTGAGTTTTGCGGAATCTTTGAAGACTCGTATTGCCGCTACTGGAGCCATCGCGAACTTACTCGTGTCCGATGACCAGGACGAGGATTTCCCCATAGTCCGTATGGCCGTCCGCAACGAGATGACGGTGGCTATGATATCGCGAGTTGTTCTTGATGAGCATGAAGACATTGGGGTCCGTTATCGAGCTGCTACTGCTGCCCAAGCTATCATTGCATCAGGTGTAGACGATTCGTGTGAGACACTCACTGCAGTATTGAGGGAATATAAGGTTGCTGATGAGAAGGCGGACGATGATGCTGTTGCTAGAAGTATGAAGGAGCTAATTCACGAGACACTTGCACTCTTTGATAGTTAGTGTTCGATGACGATCTGTATTATTTTCAGCGATCCTCGATTAGTTGCGTTAATACCGAAGTCAGCTGCAGAGGGAATGCGGGGCACTTGGCCTCTTTCGGACTGTTCGCTGTCTGTTCGCTGAAGACGTTTATGATGACTTGTCTGTCCAACAAAGGTGACACGGTGTTTGACGATAAACACTCCGGAGAAAATAGCAGCGAGAAAACCCAATCTTCTGAGGCGGCTGGGATTGCCGATTTCTTAATTGTAGTCGTAGCCCTGTTCAACGCATAGTATATCAACTACGCAATTCACATAATAGCAATGGTGGTGGTCATTAAACTAGAGGAAGTTGGTTGGTGACGTGTGCCAGGGTGATTTCAAGGGAGCACCCGGATTGGTTTAAGCTGGGCTATCGGTCGAAGACATCAAAAAAGGGATGTCTCTAATTAATCTCGATACAAAGGCTGGTTGCTTGTAAACCCACTGGCAGAGTCTTGGGTGACAGCGATGCTCTCGCCGGGAATCGAACCCGGGTGGTTTGCGTTCGCGTACCTCATGTGCATGCGTGCGAAATTCTGTTCTGTTCTGGATCAATCCACATTCCACCTGTCCGGCATGTCCATAACTTTAACCTTCTCTATCCTATTCACACTCTCGAGACCGTCATGAGGTGGTTGACTTGTTGAGTGTCTTATTCATCTGTGTCCACCGATCGACACTGACACAAAGCTCATGCGCTACGCTAGGCTTTGGCATGACCGTCCTATGGACTTTAGAATTCAGTGGATAGTTTATATGGTTTGCATGTGGGGTTGCTTGTCGGATATTTGATTACCTCCTTTGTCAGTTCTTTAAATTCAAATTATCAATATTCGTTCTCAAATGAGTTCTACTGCCACTACCCCCAACATGAAGGTGACCCTCGTTGGAGCCTCTGGTGCCATCGGCATGCCTTTGTCGTTGTTGTTGAAGATGAACTCAACGATCACCGAGTTGGCCTTGTACGATGTCAAGCAAGCTCGTGTGCCTGTTGCTGGTGTTGCTGCTGATTCCTCTCACATCAACTCTCCTGCTAAGGTCAAGGGTTATGCTGGTCCTACTGAGCTCGAGGCCGCACTTACAGGGTCTAAAGTCATCGTTTGCACTGCTGGTATCGCTCAAAAGCCTGGTATGTCCAGAGATGATCTCTTCAACGTTAACGCTGGTATAATGCGTGACTTGGCAACTTCGTTCGCCAAGTATGCTCCTGAGGCTGTTGTCTGCATCTTGTCGAATCCCGAGACTGCTCTCGTGCCCATCACTGCTGAGGTTTACAAGAAGGCTGGCGTATACGACTCGAGGAAGATCGTGGGTATCACCACCCTTGATGTGACGCGTGCCAGGACATTCTATGCTGAGGCTACCGGTATGGATGTTGAAAAAGTTGATGTCCCTGTTGTTGGTGGCCATGGTGGCTGTGCCATCCTCCCTCTATTCTCTAAAGCAACTCCTTATGTCAAGCTGGACGAAGAAAGCATCGATGAGCTTGATGATCATGTTCAAAATGCAGTTACTGAGGTTGTTGATGCACTCGCTGGTGCCGGGTCGGCCAGTCTTTCAATGGCTTACTCGGCTGCCCAGTTTGTGGATATAGTTATCCGCGGGTTAAAGGGCGAAAGCCATACAGCCTGTGCTTATGTCAACGAACCTTATGAGGACGTACAGTTCTTTGCTCATATCTGCACCTTTGGACAGGAAGGTGTTGAGAAAGTTGAGAAGCTCGTTGATCTGACTCCGCACGAGCAGAAGAGGATGGTGGAGACTCTTGAGAAGCTCCGTGAAGATATCAAGAGAGGAACTGATTTCATGATAGACTGTTGTGAGTAGATGTTGTTACTATTCTTATACAAGCTTGAGGTTTAGTTGCCTTTAGCCTGTGCTGCTTTTTACCACTGTTGTTCCTTCTATTATAGTGCATACTGTTGTATGTGAAAATTGATAGAGTGGCCTAAGGCCACAATAACGATAAGGTTGAGTGACCTTTCATTGTGATTCTGGTGTTTCTTGTTGCGTTCATGAATATGTCTTCAGGGTTCTTGTTGAACGGTAGTATGGTGGAGTTTATTATAATTATATTATAGATTCCTATTATACTAATAAATGTAGCATAAATACATACTAAAATGAATAATATACTTATTCCCAACTCTATAGATATAGATGTAATGTAGAGTAATTATGAATGCGAATAAGTCTTGAGTACTCGGTCATAGCATCGCCTAAGAATACTACTGCTATGGTTGGGGATGAGGATGATTATTCAGTCGAGCATTGGTAGGAGTCTATACTTATTCCAATGAAGGTCTGTCTGATCGGTGCCTCTGGTGGTATTGGGAGACCATTGGCTCTTCTGCTGAAGATGAATCCTGAAATCGATGAGGTTGCCCTATATGATGTGCCTGGTGCGCGGTTCCCTATTCCTGGTGTAGTAGCCGATCTCTCGCATATCAACACTCATGCTAAGGTTACGGGTTACCAAGGGCTGGATGAAATCGGCGACTGTGTCGAGGGTGCTGATATGATTATCGTCACTGCTGGTATCGCTCAGAAACCGGGAATGACGAGGGACGATCTCTTCAACGTAAACGCTAGGATAATGAGGGACTTATCCTTCAAGTTCGCGAAATATGCTCCTACTGCTCTGGTGTGCATCATGTCAAACCCCGAGACAGCTCTAGTGCCCATCACGTGTGAGGTCTACAAGCAAGTCGGTGTCTTCAACAAGGGGAAAATCATGGGCCTGATGAGTCTTGACGTGACGCGTGCAAGGACCTTCTATGCTGAGGCCACCAATCAAGAGGTCGAAAAGGTTGATGTGCCTGTCATTGGAGGGCATGGTGGTTGTGCGATTCTACCCGTCTTCTCTCACGCCACACCTTATGTTCAACTCGACGAGGCTACCATTGCCAAACTCGATGATCATGTCCAGAACGCTGTAACTGAGGTCGTTGATGCTCTCGCTGGGGCCGGCTCAGCTACGCTCTCGATGGCCTATGCTGCCAACAGATTCGCTCATATCCTTATTCAAGGCATGAAGGGTAAACCAGCGAAGGCCGCTGCTTATATCAACGAGCCGTACGAAGGTATTGATTACTTTGCCCACTACTGCGACTTTGGCCCCGAAGGTGTGTCCAAGATCCACAAGCTGGATCTCTCTCCTTTCGAAAAGTCGAGACTTCCCGAGACCATTGATAAACTTCGTCATGATATACATAGGGGCTTGGAGTTCATGAGAAGACCGTCGCAGATTATCTTACAGTAGAAGTCAGTACGACTCATCTGATACCTCGATTTGATCTTATTATTGTCATCATCATCATCATCACCTGAAAATGTAATCGTGGCAGGAAAGGATTTCTCGTCCACCCATGGGAGTATTGCGTTGAGCAAAAATCACGAACACCACAAAGGGTGTGATGAGTACGGCTATGCTCGACACATTGTGGCTCTGCTGGACTCGCCCATCGACACCTGGGTGGCTACGGTCTATGATCCATCAGGGGTGTGGAAGTGAGCTCAAAGCATGTGGCTCTGAGGTAGCCATCAGTGGCAGATGGTTTTCCTGATTGAACCCTTGCTTCGTAGCTGATAAGAATCGCGTTCTTCGGCGTTCTCACTTTCGATCATGACATTGTTACGTCCTGTATGAGTGCTTGCTCACCTCTTTCTGTGAGCTGGTGTGAGTTCCAGAGTACATATGCGTCTAGCGCCGAGCTCTGTCACTTCGTCGCCCCTGCTGAACCTTCATTTCTCGGGATTCTGGATCTTCGCTCCGATGAAACCGTCGGATGGACGTTCTCGATTTGGTCTACGACTCAACAAAATATCGAAAACCACTTTTCTTCGTACTAGGCTCAATCCTCTTGGTGCCTGTAGTATTTGCCGTAACATTTGCATTGATATTCCATCGTTTTGACGAGCTTTGCGGATTCGCACAGTTAGCCATCTATATCGTTGTCTCAGAATCAGCACTTGCTCGCTCGTCTAGTGACAGTGAGTTGAAACCAGCAAATATGAACACTCTCGGCCTTGCTCGATCCCACGTGTTCAAGATGGGCGCCCTTAGGGCGCCGCCCCATATGTACTGTTGTATGAGACTGCTAGCATCAACCTCCAATTTTCGTATGGTCAATTGGTCGTCAACTGTGACTGTCGTGGTGGAAACGGAAGTGACCGGATGGGGAACCATCAATCGCGCGTGGTATCAATCCCCGACTAAGGTCAACAGAAATGTAGTCTCCAATGTATGATGTCTCGGAGCCAAACCAGCGGATGGATCTACATGGTACTGGCTTTGCGGTGAAGACATTATTTACGACGTTAGAAATGGGGTTCTGCTGCGCTTCAGCAATGGCAAGTTCTCACCATTCTAACTGGGCATTTTCATTCAATCATAGGAATTTTCCGCCCTGCACCATCTTCATAATTAATCGCCATTGGTAGAGACCCAAAGAGAGTAATGGACGTTCAACTTAGCGGCTCAGAAGACGCTAGAGATCGTTGTGGGACCTAGCAGTGTCGTCCCAACTCTCCAGCCCAACTATTCGCCAGAACTCAACACTCTGTTGTACGCAATTATCCAAAAAAGTGAACACTCAAGGGAGACCAAGTTGTAACCGGAGCATCTGAGAATAATTATTCAATCATAGTCCATGAGTCGATTGCCAAATTAGGGAGCTCGAACAACACGACACGTTCCCACCCACCTTGGCTTGAGCTATGAGGAAGCCCAGAGCGCAAATCGAGTTGAGCAATAGAGGATACAGGAAGGGGTATCGAGCAGGAGGCGGGATGAACCAACTCGCTGTAATGAGAGTACAACCCTGAATAGAAAAGAAGACGACTCAGTATATTGAGGAGAGTGAAGAGGAGTCATACAACTACGAGGATAGCAGCGACTAGGATGAAGCAGATATTGTCTCGAGGGTGGCAGGTGGCCCTAGATGAACGGAGGGTGTATGAGTAGATGATGAAGGAAAGTAGAGCGAGTCCAGTGGTCACCACCTACAACGGCAATAACTTGTACAGAACCTGATTACTCCGGCACTCCCCCGAGCTTGATAGTTCACCTGGAGGTTGTCTTTCTCCATGAGTCTCCATAAACTCAATGTCGATAGCATCCCAAAAGATACGCTGAATACGGGCTGATCGGGAAGGAGGAGCATAGCCGGGAGGAGGGGGAGCAGTATGGCCTTCTCGTGGACTTGCCTAACGATCAACCATACATACGCCGTGTACAATGGGATGAGCTCACCAGCTGAAAAAGAAAAATGAGAGGCTCGACTGAAACAGACAAGCGAGGAAGCGCTGCCGTTTGTTAGTCTGTGGAGGTCGGAAGATGCAATCCAACACCGAGGGTAAGGAGGCAAGCAATGTGCCTAAAATAACGACCATTGCTCGGGGAGTACGTTAAAGCAAGGTTACGTACAAAGAGTGCAAACCTTGACCATGATTCGAGCAAACCCTTCAGAGGCCAACGACCAGCGACGGAGCTTGAGGACCTGTCAGATGTCT